TTTTATATAATCTTAACTTATTTTTCTTTTCTCTTGACTATCTTTTATTACCAATATTGTTATAATATATGTGCATATGGACTCTATATAACTTTTGGATGCAGGTCCACATCAGCCCTTGGCTGCCATACTATGTAACATAACCTGCTTTATCAAATAAACGTATTTATGTATGTATGCATGCATGCATGCATGTATGTATGCATGCATGTATGTATGTGTGTGTGTCTGTGTATATGTATGTATGTATGTGTGTGTGTATGTATGCATGCATGCATGCATGCTGCATGCCTGTGTCTGTGTGTATGTATGTATATATGTCTGTGTGTGTGTATGTATGCATGCATGCATGTATGCATGCATGCATGTATGCATGCATGCATGCATGTATGTATGTATGTATGTATGTATGTATGTATGTATGTATGTATGAGTTGATAACATGAGTTGGCCACAGTAAAGAGTTTATAAAGTTATAGCTGACAGGTGGTCAGTGATAAAGAAGTTTTTTTCGTAAAGTCAACTTTTTATATTGAATACGTTGTTTCAGATCAGCATGATGTAAGAAGCCTTTTGGAGTTGTCCCGAGAATACCAGATAAGTAAACTGAGTGCTCGCTGTGAAGAGCGTCTCTTACAGAAACAGAGCTCGGTCGAACTGGTGATCCTGGCGCAGGAATTCTCGCTGACGCGGCTACTTGAAAAATGTTTGGCCTCCCTCGCAAGAATGAACATTCAAGAGCTCAAGAACAGTCCAAATTTCGACAATATCGAAGCGGAAAATCTAGTTTCCCTCTTAAATAATCACCTTCGCTGGCTCAAAGAACAGCATGCCCGCGAAATAAGGCAACTAAGAGAACAATTCTTGAAAGAGAAAGGTCGAGCTTTGGAGATTGCCAACGAGTTAAATAGTTGTTGGGGTTACAACAAACTGCCAATCAGAGGCTGCGCATGTGCCTCGTACACCAAGTCATGTGACAACTGTTGTACAGTCTTGGAAAAATTTGTCAAGACAAAATGCGGTGAACTTATCGAGGCATTACAACAGAACGTGTAATCTGTGGGCAAAACTGTGAAAAGAGAAGCTGTCTTGGCTTTGATAGCGACTCTCCCTTCATACTGATGAACTGAGTGTAACAGGGACTCAAACGACACCATCTATTAGCGGGTTCGAAAAAACGAATTTTGCAGAAAAGGGGCCCAATGGCAGACGTGATTGTGGTTTATTCTAACAGGCCGTAAGGGAGTATAGAGGCATCCTTCCGCGGAAATGTTTGATATTTAAAACATACACTAATGCCATTTGGCTCATTTCGGAACTCATTTCGTCGAAATGTCTTTGCCGCTTTCGAGGATTCTTAAAGCCGCTTTTACGCATATCAGTGACACTGCGTTTGCCGTCCTCTCCCTTTTCTCCCAGAAGGTGTAGGGGGGTGAACAGTGAAAAGATAATTTGGTGAGGGGAGGGAGGGAGGGAGCGCGGGCATTGTGCCTGGTACTAACTGTTGCTGCAATATCAACACGTTTATCATTTCGTCGCCACACCCACATTCCTAGAATTAATAACTTCGCTATTTTTTGGAAACTAATGCGGCCGCCGTGACGTCATAGGAAAACGGTCCATGGCTGGTGTGACATTCCCGCACAGCGGCAAAATAAGTGCGCATGTTCGGCAGATATGGCGTTTTCGGGGAGCGTTTGACTCCAATTTGTATTTATTTATTACAGATTCCCTTCACTAGAATACACAACAAATAATGTAAATTACAATTAAGGTTAATAAAAACCATAAAAGGAAAAACTGTGGAGAAGGGGACAACCAAAAGCGCTGACGCACCATACAAGGGATGCCCCCTCTAATTAAAGTGTAGTAAAACTATATAGAAATATGAAAATAGATGCCCTAATTATCTTTATCCTTAATAAAACTTAAAACATTTTTTTTAAAAGTTTCAATACTATCTGATTCTCTAATGTGATTAGGTAAGCTATTCCATTCACCAACGATACGGTTAAAAAAAACTATATTTAAGACCGTTAGTTTTACTCAAATTTGGGACAAGGTCCTGTGTGTCATTTTTCCTCAAATTATAAGCCATCCTTCTGTCCTTACAAAATATGAGCCTATTGGAAATGTCTATGTCATAATGGCCATTAATTACATTGAACAAAAACGTAACATCCCTAATGAACCTCCTATCAAATAATAGCAACAATCTCAATTTAGATAGTCTAGAACCATAATCATCATCAGACCCAGTGATCCATCTGGTAGCCCTTTCCTGAACAGCCTCCAATTTGTCAATGTTAAGTTTAGTATAAGGGTTCCAAATTTCACATGAATATTTCATTAAGGGTCTCACAAGACTACAATAAAGTGACCTCATGGTGTCAACATCATTTAAGTCCCTACAGGTCCTTTTTACCAACCCTGGGGCGGATCCAGGATTTAGTCAAGGGGGGTTCGGAGAATTGCCCGAGGGCATGCTCCCCCGGGAGATTTTGAAAATTAGGTCTTCGGAAACATGATTTGCAGCATTTTAAGGGATAATTTGACGGGTTCGACCGAACCACCTGAACCCCCCCCCCCTGGGTCCGCCCCAGCAACCCTAAAACCCTATTGGCCTGAGCAGTTATTCTATGTATATGCTGGTTCCACGAGAGACTACTAGCAATTTGAATGAATTTTGGCTTCGTTTTACTCTTTTTTGGACTGTTTTTCGAAGTGAACCAAGTAGACAATTTAATGGTGCTTGTTGTCATGCAAAAGTCTTAGAGTAAGTTAGAGATCTTGGCAAGCTGTTTTAAATTTATTCAGACAGCTAAAGCGCTAGCAGTCTTTATAAACGTCGCGTAGCCATGTTACGGATGTTTTAAAAGAGGAATGTAATCGTTTGTCTCCCGATGTGGTCACTAGGGACGTGGATCGCACCGTTTTGACTGCAGACTGCTAGTCTTCTTCGGGCGATGAGGTCGATTGAGTACGTGTCATCCATACGTTGTTTTGCTCAGCTGTTATTCAAATTCCACGGCTGTGATTGGTACATCTTTCGGATGCAACCGTACTATACTGTAGAGTATAAAGGTAGATCCTGGACAAAATGTTCCATTCGTCGTTTCGTTATGGCGTTTCGTCGTTTCGTTATGTCGAGTCGTTGTTTTCCGAGTTTGACTCGTCGAACTTTCAGTTGGTTTCGTCGTATTGTCAGTTCGATTCGTCGGCTAGCCTCTTCGAATTGGACTCGTCGTTTTACGAGTCCGACTCGTCATTGACCACATCGGTTCGTCGTTTCGTCATTTCGTCATGTCGTTTTGTTATGTTCGCGTTTCGTCGTTTCGTTATGTCCGCGTTTCGTCGTTTCGTTATGTCGTTTCGTCGTTTCGACTTGAGTTACTTGATTCCATACACCCTTACATGAAAAATTAATGTGGTTTCTATAATTTGCCCTCTGCCGAAGGAAATGGATCCTTTGAAGAGCGACTTACGCCACAGCATAGAATTCGTCTTGAGTCAAGAAACCCTTGACCCTCCTACCCTCCCTCGACAAAAATATAGACTCCCGCGATAATTACTCCAGGGTGCTCGCCCAAGTGATTCATTCACTTTTAGCTGAAAATACGTTATTCTAAATAACTCGGACGCTTCTGCAGATTAAGTAGCTATTCTAAAGATCCATTTCCTTCGGTGGAGGGCAAATTATAGATACCGCATTAATGATTCATGTAAGAGTGTATTAAATCAAGTAACTCTTCATGTAAGTTGAATTATAGCTCCTGTTGAGTGGACAAGTTGAAACGACATAACGAAACGACGAAACGATATGACGAAATGACGAAACGACATAACGAAACGAAAAAAAGACGAACCGATGTGGTCGATGACGAGTCGGACTCGTAAACGACGAGTCGAAGAGGCCAGCCGACGAATCGAACTGACAATACGACGAAACCAACTGAAAGTTCGACGAGTCAAACTCGGAAAACAACGACTCGACATAACGAAACGACGAAACGCCATAACGAAACGACGAATGGAACATTTTGTCCAGGATCTACCTTCATAGTAGAGCTTGTTGACTTTTGAGTTACAAATTTGTAAGTGGACCATATTTTTATTTTGGTCACAAAAAAAACACTCAAATGGGTTCGTTTGTGTTGTTTTCATCTTTAGCGCGCGCCTTATGCGATCGATACGACGCACAGTAAAGTTTTGAGACGTATTTCATGAACCAAAAGTTAAAATACTAGAAAATGAATGGTGGAAAAATAGATCCCTTATTCGACGGTTTAACGTATGATATGAGCGAAAGTTTTGCTTATTGCTCGCATTTCTGCTCGTTTCGTAGAGGCTTGAAAAATACTCCGCAGCTCGCAAAATATTCGCGCTTATTGTGAATGTAAAACCATCGAATGAGGTGTATTAGTTTTTTCTTTCCAACCAAACAAAAGAAAGGGGAGCATCCCTTGTTGGCCAAATTGTAGAAAAAAATTTGCGATACGGCACCATGAAAAAAAAAAGGAAGAAATCCGTAGAATAAATGATACCTTTTGATATGTGGTCAGGATAATTTTGTCGTAATGCCATGAATTATTTTTCTGGTCATTTCTGTCAATGTTTGTGGTAACTTTTCAATCCTATCTAATTACGAAAGGATTTTTGAAAGCGAAGAAATCAAAGTGTACCCCAATTAACCCAATGTGTATTTACCTTTACTTACATCGTTTTCAAAATAAACTTTTCGAGTATTAAAGGCAGCGTATTACATAGTTGTTTCAGTTTACTTGTCAAAAACTACTCTTTATTGTTCTTTGTTTGAAGCAAGGCCGGTTAAGAGGTGTTTTAGTTTCTTTTACATATCTTTTTCAAATTTCCTGTCGTGTTCCCTTTTAACATGTCATTAGTTTTGTTTTACTGTCCAATTTCGATCATTTTAAATTACAGCATGTCCATATTGCTCAAAGAGTTTGTGTTATTATCATATCAGTGAACTAGCGGAAGCTGAAAGCCAGTGAATATTTAATGATCTAGATGACAGCTGCAAAGGTTGGATTTCCATCTTGTAGCAAAAATACAAACACGATCCCAACAGCCGAGGATAATTCGAAATAGTGACAACAGATTTTAAGGTAAGGATTCTGTAATTTTCAGTTTCTGTGGTGTTAAATATTTAACAAAAAAAAACTGGCGATGCGAGAAATATCTCAGATCACGCTATGGTTATCTTGGGAAGCATTTTTTTTTCGCGTTTGATTTCGGTTGGTTTTGACCAAATTTCTTGGTTGTTTAGATTGTGATTCTATAGAAACTCGATCGATTCCACTGGTAATTTCTTTCCACGAGAATATGTGGGTTATTATCGATTTAAGACAACGTAGTTCTTCGGAGAAACATTAAAATAAAACAATTGTGACCTTAAAAGTTCACAGTGCAGCATTTGAAATCGAGTTTCATCATGTAAATGTTTTGCTTGGGTGTGATCAGTGACCAAAACGGAAGCCGACTTACAATGATTTAATTTGGAAAGATCTCCAAGCTTTCATACTTTTGACCGTCTGCGACATTTTTAGCGGACTAAATATAACTTCAAGTTCTCAACAAAATGATTTGCACCTCTAAATTTCAGTTTTCATGTAGTTTATCGCTTGGAGTAAATGTTCGCATAATACGAAGCCTAATATTACCAACTCGATGTGTATTTGACATAAATTTTATGAATCTTTTATGGTTTCGTGAGGTGTTGGATCCGACAATTCAAATACGTTGAAATGCTAGGAAAAAATTGAAGATGGAATAATATTTAACAATTTTCAGGCCATGTTGACGCCCAGGTTTTCTGCGCTGTGAATTTCTATCAAGTATTTATGCTAAGTATATCTTGTCTCGTCTGCATACTGAAACATGCCAACATTTGGTTACTAAATTAAGTATAAAATTCGAAATGTCTTTGTTTCACTCAAACAAATTTTGTAGACGAAATTCTGTATTCGATGTGGTCAAAATAAGCTAAGAAAACAGGTAGAAATAACTCAATCAGTGTAGTTATTAGGCATTTTTTCTTGAATTCAAATGCGAATTCTGCTCTCTAATAGTGGCAGACCCTTCAAAAGACGGAAATATTGCTAAATTAAGAGCAACGGTTGTTTTCCAATTGAGAAACTTTCAGTTCAGCAACCATCTTTAAAGAGGGGTAGCCACTATACTTAGAAAATGGCTACATTTGTCGCAAGTAAGCTAGACTCAACAAAATTGAAATGATACAATTTGAGCGGCTCCGCCTTGAGACTGTTCCAACTTATACCTAGACTAATTTGAATATGTTTAACAACACGGACATATATTTGTCTGGTGTGGTCAGGTGTTTTATAGCTTTTAAGCTTACAGAGCGGTTATAACTTTTAACAATCAATTAATTTGATGATCACTTACTTAATTCTCATGAATGTAGTGTTTGATTCAGCAATGATACTCTTAGGAGAAATTAGACGCTCGCTTTTCTTAGGGGCTTGAGGGTTAGGCTTACAGGGCGGTTTCAAAAGAATCGACGTTAACATATTACGCTGTATAGTATAATTCTCCGTGGGAATAGTATTTTTATTCACATCTTCGTGTGACACGGTTGTCGACACCGGTTGATGTTCACATATTGTCTAAAATTGCAACCACCTCTTTGAAATGGGACTGTCGTAGAAATAAGTTTCGTGAACATTTTTCATTTTAAAAGATGATACATTCCCTATTGTTCAATTTAAAAGGTCAAGTCACTTTTTAGTATCGCCTCAGGGGAGGGGGAGGGAAGACTTTTGGGGGGTACCATATCGCTTTCAGGGAGAACGGTGGGAGCATCAGCTGACGCCAACACAGTATAAAGGGGGGGGGGACTATAGAGATAACTAATTATCAAAGAGACTAATAGGGGGGTCAGGTAAGTTTTATTCGTGACACTACCTAAATTCTCCGACACCCTTCCCTCCGGCGATAAACAATGATTAGCCTCTTATTTCTTATTTTGAGTCGGTAATTTTAACATTAAGAAAAACTCTTTTGTAATGTTCATTTTAGTTCACCCAGGCCAGTTATGGATGTAAAGGACATTTTGTTATGGCGAGATGTCAAAGTGACTGCAATTGTATTTGTCAGCGGTTTTGTCCTCCTAATCTGCCTGACACAGTTCAGTGTGGTCAGCGTTCTTACAAACATAGCACTGGTTTGCCTCGCTCCTATGTTAGCCCTACGACTGCTGCTGACTGCAAGATCTGCGTTTCTCAGAACTGAATTTGAACACCCTCTCAAGTAAGCGTTTGTAACTATTCTTTGATGCTAAACACACAGAAAGCTGGAAAGAGTAGAGCTGGGTAGAGTACATCAAAAGGATGATTTGCGCATGCGCCTTTTGCACATTGCGTTGAATCTTCGGAAATAAAAGTAGTTAAAACGACCAATCATGCATAACAAAAGTGAATCATAACAAAGAGTTCAAGAGCATTATTAGGGAAGACGCGTAAGAAAACTTACGCATGGGAAAACGTTTAAAACCAAATTGCGCGCACTTTGCATTAGTTTCTCATCTGCTTCGTTAAGAAGGCTAACACAGGGTTTTCTAGGCTAGTCATATCGAGGATGCTGCATAATGAGAGCAAAAGAGAAAATCTTTCCAGCGCAAAAGGGCATACTTGAGCGTAATTATGTTGTTTTCCTAAAATTATTTTATCACGAGAGAAATTGCTTCTGATTAAACGCTTCCCAGTTCCTAGTCTTAGCTCCCAAGAGTATACAAGCAGGGTACATGCCGCTTTCAGAGATTAAGGACCTGTTTACATGGAAGTGGGGGACCCAAGGTGGGTGAGGCAACACGCCTAAGTGGAGTAACCCACCTTTTCATATAATTTCTTAATTCATCTTGATCACGTTTACATGATAGGTGTGGTGACCCGCCCAAGCGGGTTGCCCGGTCTGCCAGGTAGGGTATCCCTGTCAGCCGGGGTGATAATTTTCCATGTAAACATCTCAAGATGGGGTAATCCTCCTAGCCGGGATTTCCTTCATGATAAAAAAGCTCAAAAGCAAAACACGTGTGTTTTAAAAATTTGTACATTTCCTAGCCGTCCCATACAGAATTAAAACGTTAAAACACCAGAAAGAATTAACCTTTCGTCTTTCTTGAGACGTGAGCTTGGGACCCTTGTGCTTAAACTCCTTAATTCCAAGCACAACAACAATCTCGAAAAACTTCATCCCAGCACCCTTGGGCTGCATGATTGGATGTGAACGCGTTTTATTTTTTGACCACGGCTAAGCGGGTTACCTCACCTACCTGGGTTGCCCCACCTCCATGTAAATAGGGCCTCACTGAAGCCCACACTAGCGAGTTGGGTTTCCTCGTTAAATGTTATCATAATTATCATTAAAGGATGAAGCAAGACAATACGTTTAATCCTGGGTTTCTCCTCTTATTTTCTATCCAAGGGCGTATTTATCTAAAGACATAGAGGTTTCCAAAGACAAGGCAAGTATAACTGACATAATGTACTGGTTGACAAATCGACAGTGGTTTAGCGTCGTCTGTATTCTTATCGACAACGATGTTCGTTTTCACAATAGTCAAAATGTCGTGGACTCACGAGGCGCAGCCCCTCGATTTTTTTTTACCACGAATTCGACATTAAATAAAACGGATCTTTCAGAGTGTGACACGTTGGGTAACACGCTGAAGCGAGCAGCGTTGTTTGTACAAATATCTACAACAGAAAATTGGCCAATCAGATTGCGACATTACTGCCAATTATGGTAAAAATTAAAGTATCGCACAAAAAGAAATAAGATGAACGATTCGTCTGGAGGCTAATTTCCGAAACTTTGACCCTTTAACCCTGACTGGCTTCTATTTTCTCCTCACACTATCACCTTTGAATTATATGTAAAGGTCATGAGAATAAAGTAAATGAACACCGGTCAATTCAGGAAGCTCCTGATTGGTAAAAGTTCTCCTTCTCAGTACCTTAGGAACAACCTCGTTCCCAGGGTCTCTCGTCTTCCCTCCCTCTGAATAGGCCTTTATAGATGATGCTAGTAAAAGTAGCATATTATGCTAGTAGCATTGCTTTTTTTGGCGAAATTATGCTAAAATTATGTTCTTTTTTCCAAATTATGCCCTTTTTTTTTAAATTATGCTCTTTGAAAAAATTGCAAATAAGTCCAAAAAATACATTTTATAATTAGGAGCAGTTGGTCTACAAGAAAGAAACGCAACAAATCCACAATGAAATTCAAATAAAGTTGTGGTTCATGTTAACATGCACACTAGTACTAGACTATACATGGCCAAAAATGTGACTTCCGGTTCCGGTGCACCCCAAACCCGGGCTCAGACCGTTTCAGACGCCGCTCAGTGACTCACAGTGAACTACAGATGCTACTACTTGAACTAAAACTTAAAACATCGAAAAACGTCACCAAGTGCTTGGGAGTAGAGATTAACAATGATCAAACTGTAGTATCAAAAGTGATCCGATAATTCTCAAAATATGCGAATTATGCTAGCATTGCTACTTGGCAGAAATTATGCCAGTTTGCTCAAATTATGCCAAAAATTATGTTAAGCCCCGTCTACACGAGCAATTTTTGTGTGGCAACTGTACGTATGTGGCAATTTTTATTTGCCCGAGTAGATGGCTCGACAAATATTTGTTGTTAATTTGCGTCAGTAATAATTTCGCACGGCGGAGATGCTCATGGAAAGGAAAAAAGAAAGATGGCGAAAGTCAGAAGACGTGCCAGACGTGTTGCAGCTTTAGGCGCGTTTGTCACATTTTATGTGGCATCTCGTCTACACGGACAATTTTTTTATGTGGCAATTTTTATTTGCCACATAAAAACTAACACGCCAGCTTTTCAGCAAATGCAGTTGTCACATAAAAATTGGTCATTTTTCATCATCTACACGGGCAAATAAAAATTGCCACTTAAAAATTGTCATATAAAAATTGCTCGTGTAGACGGGGCTTAAAGACCTACCTCTGAAGCTTCAAGGAGCAGGAGGACGAGAGACCCTGGGAAAGAAGTTGCCTTAGTAAATGTATAGAGGACAGTGAGGAGAACATTTAAACAAATTTAAAGGGTTAGTTAGTAGAATAAAAGCAGTTGCCTGGAGAGGAGAGATAATTTACAAAGTTAATAAATTTTAGTATGATAAAGTTTATGAACTTTTTCAAGATTTTCCCTCAACAGGCGGATTTTGTCGGTGAGAAAGTTTCTGGGTTTGCCGTTGCCATGTCGACGAAGCTGAGAGCACTCTTTCTTGTGGATGATCTGGCAGATTCACTGAAGGTTTGCTTTCATTCTTTAGAGCGAGTATCGGATGAGGGTCTTATGACCAAAAATCAGAGTGCTGAAAGTGGTCAATCAGAACAAAACTATAATATCGCGAGGAGTTTATCAGAGCTAAAAGCTGTAAAAATACTGTGAGCGCGAGAAAACACGAGTGAACAAGTCGCGAACGGGTTTGGCTTTGCACCTGATTGGTTGAGAATTTTGCAGTCTGCTGTCGACACTCATAACCAACTTTACCTCAAAAAAGTCCCGTACCGCTCACGTGTACTTCAGCACCTACACGTGCGTTGAGCGCGTATAATTCGTGGGATTACACGCACTTCCAGTGCGTTTAGTTACGCGCGTGCAGTTAGAGGAATACATGCCTGCAATGCTTGACGTGCAAATGCGTGTATTTTAATACGTCTTTTGTCATTCGCTACAGGCGTATGCGTGTGCTCTTTTACAAAGATGCGATCCCTGAGAGAATTTGTATTTCACTTGACTTAAGGATTGATTTAAGTTGATCATTCTGAGAAGGCTGATATGGAGCTACCCACGAACTCAGTTTAAAGTCCCTTGTTGGAACTTAGTGTATGACTCCGCATGGAATACGCTGAATATGTAATTCCATTTGCACTAGACCACGCAAGAAAATTGTGGCTGACTTCGGCGGGTGTCGTTAAATCAAAACTTAACTGACTAAACAGAACCAAAGGTAAAAATAAAAAAGAACCAGTTAGAACTTTCTTCAAAATGATATATTTTTTCTTTTAATTTCTCAGCTGCTAATAGCCTTGTATGTTATTTCTTACGTGGCTCAGTGGTTCAGTGGCATTACTTTGACATTCATCGGTAAGTTCAAAGACTTATTTCCCCCAGTTAGGCTCTCTCTACAAAACTGAAACCTCTCCTGGGAAAATAGGAAGCATGCATGGGAGTAACTTATCGTTAGGTTACCAGCTACGAAGGTTTAATCCAGACAAGAGCTATTATTAGCGCTGCACTCCGCCCGCGGGATGCGACGAGTCGGGGAGAGGTTTTCCGGGGGTCTGGCACTAATTATAAGAGCTAGACCATTTGCAGAGTTCTCTCCGGTTAGCGTTGCTCAAGGTCTTATACTTTCCCAGGGGGCGAAAAACCGCTCGTACTGGGGTGCAAAAGATGAGGGTTACTTGCAAAGGAGACAAGGGCCCGCCTTTTCATTCCCGAAGGACTTTCAATTTGCGGAGTGCATTTTGATGAAGTATCCTGGCACTAAAGCAAGAGCAATACCAATGGCCAATCAGAGCAAAAGGCTAGAGAGAAAAACTCCTGGTAAACACGTGCAGCTGACCTTAAGCGCGCGAAAGCGCGAATGGCTAACATAAATCGAAACTGGATATGCTTAGTGGAGAGAGTAGTGTGACTTTTATAGACGGAACACAAAACGTAGTAAAACAGAATCAGTGAAATCTCACATAGCTCGCGAAACTCCAATAAAATTTTTTTCAAGTTACCTCGTTTTGTTTTGCAGCATTTATTGGAGCCTTTACTATTCCAAAGATTTACGACATGTATGGAGTAAGTATTCAGATCTATACGTTTCTATTTGTTACTGAAACCTTAATTTCATCTTATGGCATAATTGCACTATAAAGCTTTAAGAAACTAAGTTCTTAAATTTTAAATTCCACTTTGAGTCAAATTTGTATGAGAAAACTAGGTCGAACTTGTTTATTTCAGTTACATTTATCTGCCATCTAAGTAAAGTGCTTATTAAATTAAGAATTTTTTTTCATCAATTTAATTCCATCTTTTTAGACGGAGATCAACTCGTGCCTTGGAAAAATTAAAAGTGCTGTAGAAGATGCCACTGGAAAGTAAGTAGAAAATAGGCGTTTAGATGAGAGTGGTGAAAAGGATTTATACATAGCGGTGATTAAGCCCAGAATTAATACTCGATGCGTAAACTTTACAGAAAGGCAAAGTAAGGGGAGATTTGAAGTTTTCCCTTTCAAATTCATGACGCGTTAAATACTGTTTGAATACACGTGATGCGAGAAGAAGGGGTCGGGAACCCCCTCCCCTCCCCATTGCTACCCCTTTTTAAAGTAGGCGGTAATAGTCCATTTTACAGCAGTTGTGTGCTTAGTTGCCAAGCCTTTTAACGGGAGTGAGTCTTGGGGTGACCTTGTTATGATACAAACCTTGCTGCCTTTCAAATGTAAATCACTTTGTTATCATGCTAACTAGATACATATCTCTATCACGATAAGGTCACCTTCAGCCTCACTCCAAATCAAAGGCTTGGCAACTAAGTACACTACTGTAAAATGGTCTATTCTAACTTCTGCCCAAACCTCGAGTAACAATGGGAAATACTCTGTCCTTTTGTTATCAGCCTGCTCGTTTTTGAAGCATTATTGGAAAGCCCTTGCGTACTTGCGCGTGGACACTTTCTGCCAAAATGTTTCGCTGAGTAATGTGTTCCAGAATAAGAATTTCTGAACATTTTTGGCCATCAAAAGTCGCCATATTTAAAGAGACCGTTAGGTTTTTATCAATACCTAAATGTTCCACCCTTGTGACAGTTTTTTGCCATCTTTAGGTTATTTTGTAATTGTTCCCACTGTATTCTGTTTTTCGAGCTCGTAAAGCAAAACCGATATAAAATACTAGCAATTTTCAATTGAATGTCGAAAGTAATCTGGGATTTCCTGGGTTTTGCTTTCTTTGCTCTGTGATTGGTCGAGAAAACACGCGTCACATTCTCAACCAATCAGATTTAAAACTAAAGAACAACAGATTCCCGCTCGATCCCTCGCGTTTTCCCGCACTTTAGACAGTTTCGGTGTCTTTACTTTGAGTTTTCATTGGCTCCTAAAGGTAATTTTCTTTCTTCTGGTTGGCCCGTTGTGATTAATTTAGTTTTAGTTGTTCAACACTCAGTTGAAAAACTGTCTTACCAATGAGTTCGGTCGCTGGAAATAGGAAATGATATTTGACTCTGGGTAAGTGAGGCGCACGCACCATGCCTCAGACTTTTATCGTTTTTCCTTTTTAGAATTACTTCCAAAGTGCCGAAAGGAACGAAGAATCCGGCCGACAAGGAAACTCAAGAAGAAAACGACAATGACAAGAAAGTATCATGAGTGAAATCACTTACTTAACACTTTTGAAATTAGTAGGATCGTTTTTTGAATGTTAGCAATTATTATGTACGTGTCTGGTTTTATTTTTCTGAACTAATTCTTCCTCTCGGACGCTTTTCATCTAGTTTATTAAGCCATTCCGTATATTTATCTAGTCAATTTTTATTTATTTTTTTTTTATATAGATATCTAAATAATTCATTTGTTGCCTTTGATGGACTATGTAAAATTAACAAACTGTTCGCTGACTCAGTTTCGTTTCCGGGGCAGCTCTATTTATTATAGTTAGCGGGGCTCGGGGCGGAAATGCGCCAAACTTGTTTAACTTACTTGTCTTAAAAGGTTGTATCTTAGAATACTTGCGTCCAAGACATAGAAGTGTTTGATAAAAGTCGGCTGAGCCATAGTTAAAACATGAAAAAGGGTCGTATTCCTTAAAACACGACACGTTAAGCCAGGATAACATCAATTTTTTTTACTTAGTTTTAAGGCTGTGCAGACAGTTGTACTGTTTTTCCTTACAAGCGCACTGACGTAACCTTAAAACTTTGGTCGTAATTTCTGCCTTCATTCAAGGGAAATTGAAAACTAAGTTAAATAATTGATCTTAGATGAACACTAATGGGCTTTCGAGCAACTTGTCGACCCTGAATGATTGATTTTGAAAAGAAGAAAAATCGTTTTGTTTTAATCGGGAACACAGAAGATTTTAAAAAGTTGGATGGCACTAGCGGATCATTAACTTTTCCTCCCGGAATGATTTCTGATGCACTATAGTAAGTGATTTCAAGAACAGATTACATTTACCGAGAAAAATTAGCGTACGAATAACATTTCCCAAAGAGGTATAACCTCAAGTGTATGCTTGGCACTGAGCGGTGACAAAGTATTGTAAAACTCAGGTGATAAACACGCTGAAGTCATGAGAATAGAGGAATTATTAATTTGCTTCAAGACGCGCTATAAATTATTGTTTTAATTTTGCTTAAGAATATCAGATTTGAATCAAACGAAATTTAAAATCAAAATAAAATAGTTCTTTATGGTGATAGTGAAGGGTTGAATCTTTTGATTTCTAATAGCCTGTTACAAGCGTTCAGTTAGAAAAACGAAGCGCAATCTTAGACGGCGCGATGGTAACAGAGGAGTGAAAAACCGAGTGAGGTTTGCGTCTCGTCGCGTAATGAACGACTCAGCATCCCTCATTTTCGCGCTCTGTCTTTACCATCGCGCCGTTTACTATTTCACTCCGCTTTACAAACTGAACGCCCGGAGCAGGCTAATTTCCTGCTTAATCATGAAAATTACAATTTCCATGATTGTGATTGGTTTAAAAAACTCCTATTTTCCACTAATTCACTTGCCAAGTCGTTATCGGACAGTTTGTTATCGTACAGTTCAAAAGGCCAATCATGTTCAAAGTTGTAGTTTAATTGGACCAGTCACATTCCTAGTTTGCCAAATTTTTCCAGTTAATTAGTATTTTAATGCAAATTTTCAACTGATTGAGCGACCGTTGAATGGCGAAGCTTGTTCTCCATGATTGTCCGCATCCCCAAGA